CCCCGGGGGGGGGGGGGGGACAAAGCAGAACTCAAAGGGCCCCCAGGAGGCAGCTGAGTCCCGTGGGGTCCCCACCCCACTGCTGGGCGGACACTGAGCGCTTGTTCAACCTCCCCTCCAACCCTCGCCCTCGGAGAGACCTGGAGACGTCCACGGATACCTCCCCCCTTCCCTTTGCCCGTTTGCGAAATTACAGCAAGATAAACCTAGCGTCTAGTGGGAGGGAGTTCCACAGTCTGGGAGCATCGACGGTGAAGTCCCTCTCCTGTGTCCCCACCAAGCCGGCCTGTGAAGGTGGAGGGACTAAGAGGAAGGCCTCCCCTGATGATCTTAATGCCCAGGCATTGTACCATCCCTGTTACCACCCACCCTCTTGCCCGGCTCATCCACACGCTCATATTTTCTCTGTCCAGTGGAGGACGCTGTCAGAGGGCTGGAATTCTTCCAGGAGAGCTTCCCTTCAGGAAAGGAGGCTGGGGAGGAGTTACTGGAGTTTAACCAGGAGGAGATCCTCCACGTGGATTGGGCCCAGAAGCAGAACGTCTGGAGGCTGCCTGAGTTCACCCACTACGGTTATCAGACACAGTGGGCCTTAGCTAACCTGGCCGTCCTGAAGGAGAGCCTGGAGATCATGATGAAGCGAACCAACCAGACGCAGGCCCAGAACGGTACTTGGGGGAGGGGGTGTCTGAGGGTCTGGGGAGCGCCCCTCCCGCCAATGGGATTCTCTTGGGAATGTTTTCGATGCCAAGTGGAAAGGAAGGCCTGATCAGCCGAGAGGGAGGAGGAAGCCCTTGTCGGACTGACAGCCTGGGTCACTCGCCGGGACCCCTATACTTTTTCTGAGCTCCTCTTTTGGGGGGCAACGATGGCCCCTCCCCTCCTGTCTGTTGGCCTTTGCTATCATGGGGGAGAAGGGACTCCCTTCCCAGGGAGACCCCCAAGGGCTCCTGAGTGTCTCCTCTCCGGCGCCCCCCCCCCAAGCTTCCCTCTTCCTTTCCGGGCTGAGTAGATCCATCTTCTTTCTTTCGTCTTTCACTTCTTTCTTCTTTGCTTTGGAAGGAATGTAAACTCGGTGCCCCGAGAATCCACAGTGAGGCCAGTGATTATAGATGCTTAAGCATGAGTTGGAGTTAAAGGATGGGCATGAGGTGGTCATGTCTGCTAACAATACCCAACAATCAGGGACAATACAAACAAAAATGGGATTATAAAGGGCTCCCAAACGATCTCTCCAAACTGGGCAAGTGTGTGATAAAATGGAAAAGTGTAGTTCTACATAAATAACCCCCGCCCCCGCACAACCTCCCCGCAGAGCATTTCGTCTACCAGTGGGCGTCCGAGTGCCTCTACCACAACGGGACGGAGCGGGTGCGCTTCCTCGACCGCATCGCCTTCGGCCGGCAGGAGTTCGTCCGCTTCGACAGCGACCGCGGGGAGTTCGAGGCCGTCACGACCCTCGGGGAGCCCTCCGCCCGATACTGGAACAGCCAGAAGGACTTCCTGGAGCGCATGCGGAGAGAACTAGAGCGCTTCTGCCGCATTAACTATGGCATCTTCAATCTTTTCGCCTCGGGGAGGAAGAGTAAGCGGGTGCCCGCCTGCAGGGAAAAAAGGAAGGGAGGGAGGGAGGGCCGGCGAGGGAGGGAGCCGTCAAGATTGCGTAGAAGCAGCCCTGCCAGATCTTTTCCCCTTGGGTACGAAACCCGACACGAGAAATGACACGGCTGTTCCTCAGCCTTCTCGGCCTGCCTGGATCCTCGTTTGGTCCCCGAGAGAGAGCCTAGCAAGCTTAGCAGATGGAGCAGAAGGTCGGAATCCACGGAAAGCAGGAAGTTCTCCAGGCAGGTTTCTCTGGAGGGGCTGAAGCTGCCGAACAAGCCGTGGCAGGCGCGGTGCTCCTTGAAGGCACGGGGCAAGGGAGGACACGTCAGGCCGGAGAAGAAGGTGTAGACTAAAGAACCAGAATGGGAGGAGAGGGCCCCAAAGCCACAGACGGGAACACTGAAACACCCTCCCCTCTGCTCACTCCTTCCCTAGTTCTTGTAAATTCAATGTGACCTCAATTTGGGACTAGACTCCCGTGTCAAGGTAGCCTTTTCTCCTTTTTCTCCACTCCTTTTTCTCTTTTTCCCCCCTCTTCAGTTCCGCCCAAGCTGAAGATCGTCCCTTCGGAGAACTCCTTGGCTCCCAGCGTTTTGCTCATTTGCACCGTGGACAGTTTTTTCCCCTCGAAGATCAAAATCACCTGGTTCCGAAACGGGAAGGAGGAAGACGAGGTCCGAGTGTTCACCACGGACCTGATCCGGAACGGGGACTGGACCTTCCAGATGGCGGTGATGCTGGAGGCCCAGCCGGAGCGGGGAGACGTCTACGCCTGCCAGGTGGAGCACGCCAGCTTCCCGGAGCCCGTCACCGTCCGGTGGGGTAAGAAACGGACGGAAGTCCAAACCCACGTCCCTCTCACCTAATCTGGCCCCCATTCCGACTTCCCCATCATCTGCAACAGAGCGTGGCCCCTCCCCCCCAAAAGGAGCAGCTGTCACTCAACCGTCTTCTCTGTCCTCCAGAAACCTTCATGGGTCTGTTTTGGGTCCCTCTTGTTTCCGCAGAAGCCCAGTCGAAATCTGCCCGGAGGAAGATGTGGACGGGGGTCGTGGGCATCGTGATGGGGGTGGTCTTTGCAGCTGCCGGCATCTCTTTCTACCTGAAGAGCAAGAAAGGTGAGGGGAGGGCGTGGTCTGGAGAGGGAGGGAGGGGGGGGGTCAGGTTACCTGAACAGTACCTGAGTAAAAGCCCCTCCCATGACACAGATAAAGTCCGCTTGCAATCTGGTCAGATCCTGAATCCCCTCGGACAGGAGGGAAGCATTTCTCTCAACCTTCCACCTCAGCTCCCATGGGGCTTCCCCGGTGCTGTCTCAGGCAGATGGGAGCTGTAGTCTGGCAGTACTTTGGAGGAGGGGGCTGCAAATTGCTGATCTCAGCCTTAAGGGCACCTTCTGCCTCCCTGGAAAGCAACGGAAAAGATTTCCTAATTCTGCCCTATCTTTCTGGGAACTGAAGGGTGTCACCTTTCTTTGTCTACCTTTTATTTCCCTCCAGGTCAAGCCATTCCTCAGCCTGCAGGTAACTTTTCTCTTTGTTCTTCCACATTAAAGAGCACACACACACACACACACATCCTCCTCTGTCCCCTTTCATCCAGGGTGCTGGCGTTTCCTGCCTCCCCCTCCTCGCCCCCCGTCCCTTTGCTTTCTTTCCAGTCTTTCCAGAGTCAAGAAAAGGAGTTAGAACCATTTTAGCAGGAAAGATGTTGGCCAGGATCCTCTTGGGTTTTTTGGTCTGGAGTAAGCGAAGCCCCTTCAAGCCAGGGTGGCAAACGGTAGCTAATTAACAAGGTGCCAGTGGCAGGCCTGGTGAAATGCCAATTTCACCACCAGGCAGATGTCCAGCACCTTGTTAATTAGCGACATTTCCCCACTCTTAGTGGTCTATAAAGGTATTGCCTGTTCTTGCACTTGTATTTTCTGTTGACTACAAGGCTTCTCCCCTTTGATTGATTGATCGATTTTATTAGCCATTGATTGATTGATTTTATTCTCTCCCTTCCTCTTCCTACAGCTCTCATGAGTTAGACATCATGGCTCTCTCTGGATCTCAAACTGAGAAGAATAAACCCCCTCCTCTCTCTGATTTGCCACCACCACCAATGGTTGTCTTTCCTCACTGAAAACTAGGAAAAGGGAGCTGGAATAAACAGAGAAGGACCATAACAGCTGGAGGGACATCCAGATTGTCTCCACCCCTCCTTCTTCAAAAGCACCAGCTCTTCCTTGTGTCTTACTAATAGCAGCTCTGCAAATTCAAGCCTGTGGGTTCCTTGAGGGAGTCAACCCATCTCACATTTGGTCTTCCTCTTCTCCTGCTGCTTCTCCTGTTTCCTTCCTACAATGTCTTGCTGATTACCAGTCACCAAGCTAATTAGAATGTTTTGTAGGACCCTTTCACAAAGTTTTCCTGAGCTGTACTTATGAAACAATAAACACTCTGTTCATGTTGTAAAGTCAGTCTTTTCGTCCTGAAGGTGCCCCAGGGCTCTGTGCTTCTTATTATCTTACTGTCAAAGAATCCTGCAATCCACACACAAAGTTGACTCTGGCGGGACACTCACTACAGGGCGACTTCATCCCTTGCCCTGTCATAACTGTGTGAAACACAAAATCAAGCAAGAAACTAGGCATAAAGTGAGAAATATCAAGGTCTGAAAGGCTGGGCTATCCCACTCGGCAGAAACCCCCCCAGGGCGGGGTTCCGCACACCTCTTCCGATCTGCAGATGATTAGGGAAAGATACACTTAAATAACAATTAGTAATTGTTCCCTTCCTTATAGGAAGGGCAGGGGAAACAGAACCGCTGGACAGGGGCCGCTTTCCTTCTTTCAGGTGGTTGGCATTAAGGGGCCAGATCCAGCTTCTGCTTCCCTTGGTCCCCATGAAGAGAGCAAAGGTGAAGTCCGGGGGGGGCGTTTACGAGGGAGGAAGCCCCGTTGGACTCAGCTGGACTTTCTTCGGAGGAAAAGGTCTGCGGATAAACCTGGTGATTCTTGGAGAAGGAGAAACCAAGTGGGGATCCCTCGTGGGGAGAAACCAAGAGGGGATCCCTCGTGGGGAGAAACCAAGAGGGGATCCCTCGTCTCAACGCCCGGGGGTGTCCGGTGGTCTCTGGGTGTCTCTGGCATCTGGAGGAGGATTAAGGGGTGGTGGTTACTGTATAAGCCAAGGACGAAACCGGTTAGAAGAGAAGAACTTCTCATCCCAACGGCTTTGCGGGGAAATAACGCTATTCTGATGTTTATACCTGCGAAATGGCGGCAGAGAATCAATTCATCCTGTCGCCTCTCTGTGGACCATAACCCCTTGGATCGGGTCCCGCTTCCTCGTTTC